ATTCATTATTGGATAATATTCGATCGAAAAGACGAAACCCAGCACGCAGTGAAGAAAATATAGCGGCCGTAGCTGAGAGCGTACACGAAGAGCGTGGAAAGTCGAGTCGGTGCCGTTCGCAGCAACTCGGACTGACGTATGGAATGACTTGGCGCATTTTACGTCGAGATCTTAAATTGAAAGCGTACAAAATACAGCTTGTGTAAGAACTGAAGCCAATCGCTTCGCTCTATGGGCTCTTAAAAAGTTCCAAGAAGATCCAACATTTTCGAGCCAAATTTTTTTCAGCGATGAGGCGCATTTCTGGCTCAATGGGTATATAAACAAACAAAAGTCTATGTGGACAATCCTGTTTCTGTTCAGGCCTTGGAACAAAACATCACCCGTGTCATTCGCTAGTTACCAGTCGAAATGCTCGAACGAGGCATCGACAATTGGACTCAATGGATGGACCATCTGAGACGTAGTTGCAGACCATATTTGATAGAGATAATCTTCAAAAAATATATGACAAAGAATGTTGCTTCGAATGATAATAAAAATTCCTCATTAAATTTGAATTTTCTGTGTTTTTTTTTTTAAAGTAGGGAATGGATCACCCTTCATCAACCAGGAATGGAATTCAGCCACAAATTTTGCAGCTCTCTACAAGCGTTAGGTAGGGAATAATCGGTTCTGTATTACCAAAGTTCAAATCAGATATTCATCATCGACGAGCTCCGAATGGAAGTTGACCATATGCTGGTATAAACTTTAGTGTGTGCTTTGAAAATATTACTAAGATGAACGCGCTAAGAAAATTTTAGGTATCAGTGTAATTTTAGGGTACTTACTAAGTAGGTAAATTCTTTTGAAAGGCATGTCTCGAAGTCATTTTTCCTCTAGCTTTCGTTGGTAACTTCTCTATTAACTGTAATATATAGCTTTAAAATAACTTAGCTCAGATTACTCCGAAAAATTTCAGATTTTTAGCATACATTTAGGCTAAAAACGTAATATGTTTTTATAACGTACATTTAGGCGGGCAAATTCTTTAAGCTGCTAAGCGTACCGTCCGATATTAATTCATATATGACAAATCAAATTTACATCTAGGCATTGTGACATGTAAAATATATGCGATACATTAAAGCACACATGTATATATGTATAGTTAAGTAAAGCTTAGAAAGTCGTCGGTGAAAATGTTGAATTTGTTTCGTCGTCGAGCCGAGCGTATGAGTAACAGCTATTGCACTAATTAAAAAGCTCGACAAAGGATGCAACTATTAAAATGCGAAGGCATACACATACACAAACGCATAAAACTGAAAGGCCAGCAATTATTGCGTGCGTGTGTGTGCGTTTCGCTTGCGGAAGTGGTGAGCAACAAAATCATTATAAAAGCCAATGTCAACGGCTACAATTGCATATGTCAACACAGGAGGCGCCACGCCACTCTGTCCCGCACCAACACAATACACCGCACAACATAACACGGTGCACTTCAAAGCATTTTGTATGGCTGGTCAACCATTTTTGCACGGCCTGACTGCCAGACAGTCCACCGACCAGTCAGTTGGCCACAAACTAACCTTCAACGCGTCGACTAAACACTCAAAGCTTGCCAAAAGTAAAAAAAAACTAAATCAACAACACAGTTAACATAAAAAATATAAAGAAATGTAAAATTGTTGCCACAAAATGAAACAAGAAAACGAAAAGCATAGAATGAAGCCAAAAATCCGACAAATGTTTGCAAAATATTGCGACATCGTGATGGAGAAATTTTAAATGGTTAGCTGTGAAGGTATTAGGTGGCTGTAGGGGAGTATATGCGACATGTATACGCTGCGGTAAACTGAGGTACAGTGGGTTATTTAAGGTTTGCGGAAGGGTTCGTCCATATGAGAGAGTATGTCTATTGTATAGGAGACCGTACATTAACTGAACTTTAATTTTGACACATATGAACTCGAACCTTCTCTATCTTACAATATGGTGTAAGTGTTCATAATTCTGTTGGAATTACTCTTCGAAATATATTTCAAAACCCTGATTGCAATCTAAAATTGTATATCGAGCTAATTTGTCCAGGTTTAGCCACAAAATACCTTTATCTGTATTACATCGGAACTATCACTTTTTCTTTTCCTGTTGCTGCCTGGCAGATATTCCCTGTAGGGGAACCTACAAGTTCACTCAGTCGAGCTATCATCGAACTAATTTTCCTATCTCAAGGTGTCTGCGCAAGGATCTCTCTAGATTCTCTGGGTGTTGATGGCTCCACTGTGAATGGCGGTCAGTGCATGACTGAAGTTTGTTGCGTTCGTAGTCTTGTCGGTGTACTGTTCGATGTCGTCAACGTAATCGAGGCAAGACCTCTTGATGTTCTAAGAAGGCTGCTTCGTTTCTTTTGCGGTTTCCGAGAAAAACATCGCAGCAGAAACTACTTAGTGAGGAGTTCATTATGTTCATTGATCGGAAGCATGGATACATCCTGTAATTGTTCGGCGTGCAGTATTCTGACACGTCTGAAGCTTCTTCATCTGCGTTTCACTACATCCAGACCTTTAGAAAGATCAAAATTTTAATTCGAACGACACCCAAATTTCAGAGAAAACTATCTGGAGATCTCATTCGATATGCATTTGGTGGGAAACCCTTGAGAAAATCAAAATGCCAAATTCCTCTTTCTTAAATGCAGCTTCAGATTAGTGTCATATATATATTTTGTGTCAGTGTGAGTATATTCTAATACTAAGTTAGGTTAGGAATTACACCTTATGTGTCGATAATTTCTAGAACTAATTATAATTATTTTTTCTACTCTAGAAAGTTCGTCTAAATTGCCAAAGGTTTTATGTGGGACAATTTAGAAATAAGTATTGTGGTGAATCTACATCGTCTGTTTCTTATTAACTAACCGGATCATATGAAATCCCATTGGAAAATTACTAGCTAAAACCTTGCTACTAGAGAAATGATGATCTTGATAAGCGCAATAGGTCTGTGAATCTTTTTCGATCTACTGATGTCGATAAATACCTTACTCTCTCAAAAGGCACTTCGAAAATTTTTATTTTTGATATCTAGACACACTGTGATAGATCAGAAACTCCCCTGTACTGCTGAATGCTCACATACATAAATTTATATGCACATGTGACCAAATACTGTAGGCGCATATGTAAATAAATACCAACCAGTGGGTTTACTTTTGAGTCCGGCAACTCCATCAGTCGAGCGTGAATGTCAGTAAGTCCTCAGTTTTGTCAGCAGCGAAAATATTCTGTATCAGAATCAGCAACAACAACTTCAATCTATCAACAACCATGCATACATGCATAACCACATAAAATAAAAATAATAAAATAACAACAACAAAGCAATGTAAATAGAAAATACATGGCTATACGCCTGAAAGGCGGCAGCGGTTGCAAAAAACGCGTTTTTCCAACTCTACCACATGTGTTTACCTGCTTGTGCGCATTAAATGCCGACGAACTATTCAAAATTTCATAACTTGACTTAACGCGACGCTTTCGCTCGACTTTCCTTGTGAAACCCGCGCGGCTGCAAGCGCGTTTTGAAAGCACGCGGCCAAAACAACAACAAATGACCGACTACGCTGCTCAACTCTTCTGGACAAACTGTCGTGTGTGTGCGTTGTTGCAGTTTCTTCTTTCTTTTCGTTGTTTTTGTCTGCGGTTACTTTGTTGTTTTTGTGGCCAGATTTTCGTCGTTTGTTGGAATTTTTGTGTGTACTTTGCTACAGCTACGCGCCGCAGACTGACCGCGTTTCGTACGACTCGACTTTGTTTACTGTTTGCAGGAGTTGTTGTTATTTTTGTTTTTGTTGTTGAGGTTGCTGTTGCTGTTGCGCGCCGCGACCTTTACACAAACAACATGCAACATGCTGTTGACCATCGCTTTGCTGCCCCCCCTTGGAATGATATGCTGGCTGGCCGTCGATTCTGTCGCATATTCGTTCATCATATTTCAGCGGCGCTCACTCACCGGCCAGTCTCTCACTTTTTTTCTCCAAAAATCTACGTTTTCGCTTTGCATTTCGTTTTGACTCCCTTTTTCGAGTTCGTGTCACGCTTTTGTTATTGTTTGCTTGCCGTTCGCTGGTAGTGTTTTTACTTTTACTATTATTTTGTGTTGTTTTTGTTGTTGCTGAAAGCCGTAAGCGATTTTTCGGCGTCCGCCATAAATACACAAATCCACCCACACTCGATTATATGCACACCCTCACACACACGCACACACACCTACAAACATGCGGCAAGCTATTCATTTTGCATGAATGGTTTGTTTGCTTTGTTGCTGTCGTTATTGTTATTGTTTTTGTTGTTGTGGTTTGTTCTTTGGTTATGGTAATCGAATTTCAAATTATTGCTTGCGGCTCTCGCGACATCTACTCTGTGACCGTTGTCGCTGTCGAACTTTTTCTACCCGCCTATTTGAACGCGTTTCGTTCGCTTTCCTTTGGAAATGTGAAACTTTTTCAAAACGTTTTTGTTTTGCTTTGTAGCTTGTTGACAATTTATCAGCTATTTTTAGTATGGCATAACAAAGTGTGCCCTACCGATCTTTTTTTATAAGAGGAAACAAAATGGATTGAATAGGAAATTTCTTTATGGGCATAAGACAGAAATAGCTAAGAGACAAAGTTTATGAGAAAGATGTGTCAATGTCAAGAAAGTCAAACACTTTAAGAAATTGGACAATATATAAATATTGTCTTCCGTCTGGATCAAAAAATTTTTGTTTTTCATATCTGATACAAAAGATTATAATAACGTAACAAATTCAATAAGTGCTTCATATATATCAGAAAATGTACTTAGAAGCCTAAATCGTACCTCAGTTTTTCTATCGAATAGTTTCACTTCGAATAATCGAAAAGTAGAACCGTAAATATAGTGGTCATTAGATTACATTCAAGATTTGCTCTTTCTTCGGCTCTTCCAGCCTAAAGCAATAAATTAATTTATAACATTTAAATCACTTACATGTGTAGCAGCAAAGTTCCAGAACTCAACTCTTTCACTTTGAGATGAGATCAGTGCTGCAAAGAGAAAAAAAAGTGTGGTTGAAATTCATGTTCATAGATTGGAATTGTGGCCTACAAACTATAACATGGCATAATTAGAGTTACTCACGTATAATTTATAAACTATACGGGTCTGATGAAAACAGTGCATTGGCTGCGAGTTTATTACACTTTCGATTTCAATTAAAGTTGTTTACGGTTAATTATAAATAAATCGAGAATTTACAAGAACACAATAGACCAAAGAACGCAATGCTTACCACTATTTATAATCTTTAACCAAAATCAGACGCGCTCAAATGGTAGGAGTCCACCTGTCCAGGGTGAAAAATTTAGAAAACTTACCCTATTAATATATCTTAGCTTTGGAATTGATGCATTATGACTCTCTGTCAAGTAGTAGTCGAAGAGAGAAAACTCTTTGACTAAGTGAACTCTCAATCAGAGCAGCTATATCAAAAGAGTTCATTGGACAAAAAACACACAGTTCTAATGGTGATGGATATGAAACTGTACAAATTGAGTTTAGGATGAGAAAGAATTTTATGTGGGTTGGAGAATCAATTTTTATCATATATCTACTCATATTGATATGAGTTCGAGTGACTGATATAAAGGCTCGTATTTTTGAGGGAGCTTTCATTTCAATTATAGACAACGCTTTCCTAGAAGCTAAAATATCCGCAATACTTTTCATCAGTGAACCTTGAGAAAATAGAGACTTGCGAAAAGTAGGAGAGATATTGTATTTGATCCACTGACATTTCAAAAGAGGAATCTAATTGAATGAGTTCAACCAAAAATATTTTCGTAATTAAACTGCAATAGTAATTATTGTGCATGCAAGTGTCACACACTCGCAGACGGACATGAGTAAATGGAATGCCTCGTCAGCGATGACACTTAGTTATAAACAAACTCACATACACACATACAAACTTAGATGTATTGCATTCAAGTTAAGACTTTTCATAGTTCTGTCAGCAAATGCTTCGCAGTCTTTTTCTCACGACAAATGCAATTGTAGTGAAATAAATAAGTTTATGTATGCATAACTGTTGGTGTGAGCAAATAAAAATATATATTTTACTGTGTAGTATGCTGTCGCTGTTGTTGTAGCTATTCTGCTACTGTCAGTTCATTCTCGTTTGCCGCTTTTGCGCTGATTGCCTTCACGACACTATGTAAAAATAGAGGAAGCACAACAAAAGAAGCGAGTAAGGACGCTAACGGTCGCGTGGAACCGAATTGGAACCTTCAGCTACTCTGGCATAGGACTTTTTAGACTGCTTCATAGTTTTCCTTGCTGCTACGAAATTCCTGACCTTTTCGTGGATTTACCAAAAAGTAACTCAGCATTGAGCTCTTCTGGACGAGCTTAGCGGTAAAAGAGAAAGTCCATCTATCGGAGTGGAAATATATGTCAATACTTCTCGTCCTACATATCTTAGCTATCCAAAGAAATGCGGTAAAAACGGATGGATGTACCGTTAATTTTCGTGTTTAAAGATTTTTGTACAAATTTCTACATTTTCTAACAATTTCCTTCATTATTTTTAGAAAAACTCGAAAGAACTATAAAATCGTTAATGGAACATGCACGGGTATAGAAAATATGAAAAAGCTTCAAGTGAAACTACAAATATGCAACAACAAATGCAATTTCCATTACCAGCAAACCGAAAAAGGGTGCAGCACTCAATTGTCAGCGTGTCCTCGCTACGTCCGCTGCAATAGTTGTTTGTCTAGTTGTTGTTGTTGACACTGTAGTTTATGTTGCTCTTTTGCAGATATTAAAAACGTATAAATTTCATTGTTTTTTCCGGCTAGCACGCCATCTAGCTCTCGCTCACTAACTTTGTAGCTGCGACTGTCACTTTTTGTTCTCTGCATGTGCGCATGTATGTGTGTGTGTGCGTGTGTTTGTTTGGCTTTTAAAAGAAATGCAAAATATTTTATTGTGCTGACAACTAGAAAACCCATTAAAATACCAGAAATAACCGGGCAAAATATAAACTGAAGAAAAAAAGAAAACCCGTTAGTTGCGTGGCGGCCAAAGCGAAGTCGGGCAGAGGACGAGATAATTGCGCAGGCGGAGCAATTGTGCATTGTTTGGCCAAAAGGGGTCAAAGGCAATAAAATATAAAAATGGCTATATAAGTAGAAGAGTAAATACAAGTGCACAACTGAAATATTAATAAGCGATTTTGCTGCTATATGTGTGTGTACAACGCCTGACACGCCGCGTGACACTGCGCTGTTGACAAAGCCCACACAAGCTTCACTCTCTGGCATCTTTAGGGGTACATTTAAATCGCGTCATGTGACTAAACATGTGTGTGTATGTATGCATGTATGTAGCGCCTGAATGTAGGCAACTATGTAGCGCTGGCGTTTGCGTAGGCATGAGTGTGTCGGCTCACTTCGAGCGAGCGCGATATCATTTGTCAGCGCATTAAAGCGCAAAATCGCACAATAAAGTCGAAAGTGGCGCTAGTGGCGTCAGCGCTTGCATGTCGTCCGGACGTTAAAGCGGAAATATGACCATTTAGAGAATAGTAACTATGCTTAGACATTATAGTTACATATAAGCAATAAAAAGTTATATTCGTTGTCACCACTATTATTGCAAATGTCAAATAAACTGTAAGTGAAAATAGTTTAATTTTTTGTTTGTGTGTGTGCATTTGTTGTGAAATTATAGGAAATAGCTTAGAAACCAGTGCTTCTATATGCAAATAAATAGTTACTGAAAGTATTGGAGAGTTAATGGAATTACATTTTTCGAGTAGAATACAATCAATAACCGCTTAATCTTATAGTGAAGGTATTTATAATGGCCTTAAGCTGTAAAAATGAAAAATAAGTGTAAAAAAAGTAAGGAAGAGTTCGGGTGTAAGCGAACATTTCATAATCTAGCAAAATACAAGAATCAAATCCAGCTAAATACCATCAGGTGTTGATAATATGAGGAAATATAGCGAAAGGGTTCAACTTCATTATTCGCTGGAAACGTTAATGAATAACAAACAAATTTGGAATCATTTTTTGATCTCGTATCTTACACCCAAAAGTGTACATTTATATATATGACTTTATTGAACAATTTTTACAACCCACAGGCTATTCAGTGATTCTAACCATCCGTCTTTTAAATTAACACATCAAAGCTCACATTTTTATGCAATAAAAAAAAAGTTTTTGAATATGTTTTACCGACGGTTCTTTCCGTTTTATGGATCGACTCTACACAGAGTAACAAAAATCTAGGCTAACAATTTTCTTTCCGTTCTTTCAGTTCTTTCCGTTTTATGGATCGACTCTACACAGAGTAACAAAAATCTAGGCTAACAATATTTGTTACTCTGTGTAGAGTCGATCCATAAAACGGAAAGAACCGTCGGTAAAACGTATTCAAAAACTATTAAAACTCCAAAGAGCACAGAAAACATTTCAAGCACATTATTATCCTTAAAAATTAGCGTTAACCTCCTCGCTACCGCATAGAGGTTGTATTATTTTCATATTGCAGTGGCAATCACGCTCACGCAGACAGCTCACCCACAAAGAACATTAAGCTTTTCCAACACGTTGCAATACGCCACTAACCACATGACGAATTTCTTGGCATTAGCTGCAAGTGGGCGGCCACCAACGCCTCTGACGATGTTACGCCCACAAAAGTGACTGCCACTTTGGTTGCATGCAACTGCGGTGGTTCAGCCCCGATTGGCTTTACCTGCTTTTCGCTTAACCACTTTTCTACTTCTTCTTCAACTAACTTCTCTTAGTCGAAAAATCAAAGCCATTCGCTTTGGTTCGCTGACTTCATTTGCTACTCTGCAATTTAACTCTTCATTTGCGGATTCCATTTCGGTGCAAAAAACGAAAATTTCTTTGCATTTCACCTCTAATTGTGGCCACTAACAGAATTCTTTAACATTTTAAGTGTTGTTGTTGCTACTTTTTTGTGTAAATTTTGCTGCTAGCAGTTTTTTTGCGCAGATCTGAGAGTTATTTTTTAATTCACTTTCTTCTTCCCTCTTAAGCTCAACTGCGATTAGGTTGCAAACGAAATTTATTTACTCTTTTATTTACTTTTATACACCTGCAACTCGCAACCCTGTGATAAGTGCTTTAGTTAGCCTTGAAAAATTATACATTTTTTTATAAATTCTGAGTAAATGATAATCTGATATAATTAAAAAAATACCAATGCGGCTGTGACAGAGTTGTTTGATATAAGTAGTGTTTCACAAGTTCAATGTCGAAAATGAATGACCTAATTAGACATAATTGAGTTCTCCATTACAAAAAACGTCTACTAGTGTATTAGAAACATGTATCACGTGATTACAGAAATATAAACGAGCAATATGCAAGAAATGTTTAAGAAGTTTTCCAGGAAAAGGCTTTTAAAGCAATTACTTTATTTTGTCTTCATTACTTTTATCATATAACCAATTTTTTTGTTTTTATTGTACCCAGATGTGTTCTGATTAGCTTTGTTATATTTTCGTGAAGAAAAACCCTATTTGTTTGAGTGTATTTTGGCCTTTGGTGACTGCTGACGAATTCTTTTTCAATCAAACATACAAAAGTGTACCATCTGAATAATAGTTCTAATAACTTTCGCTAGATTAAAAATCTCCACTATCAAATTCCAATACTAATTTATCTATTATAATGGCAATTCCCAAAAAGCTAGCCTCTTTTAGGTGATCATCTACTTGTTAGGCAATTAATAATTGTGCTCTTATTTAAAAAGTGTAATGCTAAGAAAAGATGTGCTTAACTATGCTTAGTATGTGATATTTACTTCTACTTTTAACCTAAAAAAGAGCTTTGTTTTAATTAAAAAGCTGAAAACGCTGAAAACTACTCAAAACCTCTACAAAAATATTCCTGGCAATATTTAATGTGCTTTGTGGCACCCGAATCTGGCAAGTTTCAAAGCAGCTGTTTGTCGATTCGAAAACTAAAATTATATTTCTTGCACTCAACCGTAGTTATCG